GCACCAGGACCCTGAACGCACTGCATCTCTGCCCCCGGGATGCAGCTCGCCCAGCCCGGGCCCTGATGCCCGCTCCACCATGGTTCTGCTCAGCAGCTTCTTGCACCTGCAGGGCAGGCGCTGCGGGCCCTTCGCGGCCCTGGGGCTGGGCGGGGCCCCCCACCGCAGGCCCCGGTCGTGCGGGGCTGGCCGCAGGCCCCTGCGGGTGCTGGTGGACATGGACGGGGTGCTCGCCGACTTCGAGGGAGGATTCCTAAAGAAGTTCAGGGCCAGGTACCCAGACACCCCCTACGTTACCCTGGAGGACCGCAGGGGCTTCTGGGTGTCGGAGCAGTATGGGCGCCTGAGACCCGAGCTGAGTGTGAGTCTGTGGCTTCTTGCCCCCCGCCGCGATCGTCCTCCCGGTGTTCCCGACGCCTAGGCCGTAAGCTCTGTCAGGCAGGGATTGAGGTTCGCCGTTTGTCTGTACAGCGCCTGGCACCGTGTTTGGGGTTCGTATGATACCGGGGCGGGAGGGGGGATGTTGGGGCGCAGTTTTCTATGTTACTTTTTCCTCCAGGGCCCAAGCAGTACCTCTGTGCCGGTCCATCCTGCACCTGCAATGGGTTGTAAGAATCCACTAGCGTTTGAGCCAAGTTTTCCTGCCTGGGTATCGCTTGCAACGCTGGCTAGTTTAACACAGGGAAAAACACAGGGGCTGCCTTCATCGCTAGCTCTGCTGTTTTACTCCTCAGCAACAAGAGCAGGCACATACAGCTTTGGCAAGGTTGAAAGCTGGCGAGAGTGATCCGTGTTTCAAAATGGAGCTATCTGAAACAGAAACATCGTGACAGCTCTGAAACATTAATTTTGGCTGCCTTGATCATTGGACACACAAAGCCATTACAGTGCCTAAAAAGGTAGCGGGGCAGAGCGTGTCTGTGTGTGGGGGGGGATACGATAGTTACTGGGCACGTCTCCTCATTCATTAATGCACCTTAGATACTACACATTAAGTCTAGTACTTGTTTAATAAAGTACTAACTAAATGCACAGTAACTAGAGTTACTGTCCAGTAGCACCAGCACATGGTTATTTTGTGATGCTTACTGCACATTAGCCTAATAACCCTGCACAGTAGACTATTAGCGTGGGTTTTAACTACCAGACTACTGTGCAGTGTTATTAGGGTAATGCGCAGTAAGCATCTCGTGTAGACAAGCCCACTGTGTTTTAAACTGTGACTGTTTTGTGTGTCTGCACTATCCCACAATAAGTGGAAGCTAAACCACAGTAGGTTGGCATCTGTTTCATGGTATAAGCTGTGCTGGGTTAAAAATTTCACTTACTGTGGGATAGGAGTGAACACATGAAAAGGTTAGAAAGGATTGGCTGAGAGAGCTGTAATGAGTGATAAGTCCCCTCTTCTGAAAGCAGCATCATTTTGTCTGTATGCATCCTTTCTCCTTTAAACCTAAAGCTAGAAACACTACTTGTATTGTTTATGTGGCCTCGTAGCTGCAGAAACTTGATTCCTGCCCAAACTGTTAATGGTCTTATTTTGAAGTTTACAGTCATATTCCTAGAGAAAGCTTGACCTGGGCTAAGGTGTTTAAAACAAAGAAAAACACTCCTGTCTCTGATGGCACACGTGATTGCCGAGCAGGGGACCAATGTAGGCCCTAGATGGTCTTTGCTCAGTGGAACCCATGCTGAATGCAAAGGGCTGAAGGAACAAGGAGAGGGTTTGTTGTCTTTATAGCTGAAAAGCCACCCTGGAACTGGTGAGACAGTAGAAGAAAGCCACCTGTTACGACAAGGCTGATCCTAAGAGTATGGCAAGGGTGATGTATACATTGCAAAATAATGCATGATTTCTCCTAGATCTCAACACAGGGAAGCCCTGTCTCTCATTCCCGAGAACCTAGGCTTTCAGGGTCTGGATGGTGTTGGATTACTGTGTACCGATCACATTAACACGTCATCCCTGTGATACCCCCAAACTCTTGGGGTGAAAGTCCAACCTTGCCCACATCGATGGTAAACCTCCTTCTGACCTCACTAGAGCCAAGATTTCACCCCTGGTTTCAGATTGCATCTAGCCGATAGGGGAGAAGAGTCTCACTCTGTGTGCTTTCCTTTGTGGCACCTCTCCTCCAGATAGTCTTGACCATGAAAGAGTTTCAACCTTGTCTGTCCAGGAAGGGATGGACTCTCCAGCATCTTGAGACTAAATCTCTCTTGGTCAAAGCACTCGGTCCAGTATGTTGGATACAACCTGCCTGGGCATTGGTGATCTGGCAGGGCTTTTTCCTGAATCAGGGCTCATATTCAGTCCCCTCCAACCCAACCGCAAGACGTCTTTTCACTTCATTGGGAGCAGAATTCAACGTTAAGCCTCCAGGACAGAAAAGTACTTAAGCACATGCAGAAAGTTAAGCACCTGCTTAAATGCTTTGTTGGCTCAGGGACTCTCTCCTCAAATGCCTGCTGTAGAAATATGTTTTATTCCTTTTTTTTATTTTAAATTTCCCACTGGTGCAATCCAGCGTATTTTGAGCTGCAATGTATTGGATTGTACTTCAGCCATCTGGTACCGTGACTGCTCTTCTCACATACAAAGAATTCTTTGCAGCTCCTAAGTGTTTGCACTGCAGCACATTTTATTTTCTTAACCTCTGTTAAGATGTAGGAGAAGGCTTTTTTTTTTTTTTCAAGCCACTAATGCTGCACGCGTGTATTCCTGCCCCTGCAGCTAAAGGGAGTGGTGAGTTCTGCTTTGCAGTGCTTGCTCCCTTTGAACTGGGTGTGTGCGGTCCTTTCCCATTGCAGGTGTTTATCTGTAAGACGCTGGACTTGGCTTTGGCATTCTTCTGTACGGAGTGATGAAGGCACAGGGCAGTAGGGGGAACAGGGCTGGGTGCAGAGCAGGCTGTCCTGGACAGCTACACCCCCCCTCACCCGCATGTAAGGAGGCAGGAGTGGCCCACATGAGCATCAGGCAAAGCCTTGGTTCTGGAGCCCCCAGTATAGCTGCTTCCAGGTGTGCTGCAGGTCACTGCTTGCTGAGAGCAAGGGAGAGCTGGGAGGCAGAACATGCCTCTTAAGCGTCTGACTCTGCCTTCTGGATGGCTCCAGGGACACTGGATCGTTGCTTGGGGTTTGTGGCAGAGCCATGACTGAGCCCTGAAGCAGAATTCAACCTTCTCTTGCTCCTTCCCTGTTTAACCCATTATGGAAAAGTCCAATATCTTGCCTTTGTTCCCTTTCACCATAGGGTCTAGGTCAAAGCAAAACAGCTCAGTAACAATCTGGATACGCTCATCCATGAGGATGAAGGCAGGGGTATGGCGCAAGTAAACTGCAGTATTCTTCACACCCCGTAAGGGACCAAAGGGAGCAGAGGGAGAGCAGTGGATCAGGTAGCTCCTACATAAGCCTTGACTATGAGAGCTTAAAGCTACTGTTGTCCCTCCAGCCGAGGGGAGAAGGAAAGGTGCTTGAGATCAGCGCAGATCCTTCAGGGCATAGCTGCCTTCCCAGTCCGCCAAGGCTGCTACTACATCATTAGAAAGGGTTGTGACATGGCGACACAGTCACTCCCTCTGTCTGCAGCTCAGCTTGCTGCTGTCGCAACCATCTCAGCCCCTCTTGGTAACTAAGCTTGGATCGCTGTGCACAGGCCATCCTGAGTGCTCGGTGCTGGGCTTGGCTTGTGTGTTCCCAGCCAGGTGCCTGAATCCTGTTCAGCATAGAGCCAAATGGCTCTGGAACAGGTGTGATTCTGGGGCTTGGAGCAGCACATTGCAAACGTCCTCTGAGTTTACCAACTCCAGTGAGTGGGGATGAGGAGACCTCCAGAGAAAGTAAGCCCCCACAAAGGGCAAGCCAGAAGTGTTGCAATAGAGGCTTCCCCCTTTTATAAGCATAAAGGCACCAAAGGCTGCTTTCCTGCACAGGTAGGGGCTGCAAGCAATTCAAGGCAGTGCAAGGAATTGCAGGTACACTAGACACACAAGTTGCCCATTACAGGCAGCACATGAACTTGGGTCTCCCTTGTTCCCAGTTTCTTGGTTCTGTGTGATCTCTGTATGTTGCCTTCCTTAGTCCTCTCTTCATACCAAGCAGTTTTCCCCAGTGGTGTTAGCCCTGCTGATCAAGATGTCTAATGTTTCACATCCCTCCTCTGTGAGACACTGCCCCATAGTGCGCCAGTCGCCTGCTAGACCTTGCTCAGGGCTCCCTGTGGTTGGAAAGTTGACGCTCCTCTCGCAACCTCATCCTACAGGGGGAATTTTGGATACTACTGGACATTCCCTCATAGGGATTGGACACATCACACGTTTATACCAGTGTAATCAGTCTTTACAACAACATAAACAAGGAGCTGACCAATGAGGGACAACCCCTACGCTGCTTCAACGTACTTGAATCTGGTGTGGCATCATCCTGGGAAAAATCAGGGGTAAAACTATACCAGTATAAGTTCCTTTGCTGCATGTGTCTGCAGCTCTCCCAGAATAGCCTTTTTACAGGCAAATAAACTGTTGCTTGCTCCACCAAACAGCCAGTTGCTGTAATAGCATCTGCTGTGAGCTGCTACCCTAGTATAACTGGTTGTCTGTCCACTCTGGACACTGATATAATTGACACTGGTGTACAAAACCAATATACATTATGTAGGTGTTAATTCATCTTGTGTCTTAGAGACCAAGAGAGACTCAGGTTATGAATCTCAGCCACCGCTGCTGACTTTTACTGGATGGGGGGAAACTAAGCCCTGGCCTAGCCCCTCTATTCTTTATCTTGTGATAGCCCTGAGAAACCTCAACTTGGACCAGGGCTTCCCTGA